TGCCTACTCCATACCTGTCCCTCCACGGCACCAAAGTTTAGAGCAAAAACTAATTATTAAATTCAATTAATTCTAGTTATTCTCACATTATATGTATGTTTTGTGTCCACAACTCATTAATTATAGCCAACACTCGAGACATATAACTGAAAACAAATGAGAGGAAAAAAACATAAATAAAAGCAAAATAAAAGGAAAAGTTTTTTTTTCGCTGAGATATAAGAATAAAATAAAAGCCAAAACACTTAAACTCTGCTTTTAAAAGCCTAGCGATTCATCTCATCATTAAATGTATAAATGAAATATTGTGTTAAGAAAGTCCTCTCATCCTATGATAAATTACTTCTTGCATTATCTGACCATTAGTTATACCGCCAATAGTACTGAGAGTTACAGAAAAGGAAAGGCATGGAGACTACAGAGACTCCGTATAGTAGAGTAGGAATTCCTTTAAGAAAGAGAGTGCAAGACATGTATGATTTTTATTTTCTCTTTTTTGGCCATCAATTACACGACGACTTAACCTTCGCGTCTGACTTGCCTTTCATGTCATAAATTCATATTTATTTATATAATAAGATTTATTTGATTTGTTTCCATTAAAACACTAATTATATTGTGTATTATTCCCAAATAAAGGTGGAAAATGTTCCGGGATCTTCTAAAACACTGCGACAAATATCCACACAATAAACACCCCCTCCTCTATTTATTTGATTTGTTTCCATTAAAACACTAATTATATTGTGTATTATTCCCAAATAAAGGTGGAAAATGTTCCGGGATCTTCTAAAACACTGCGACAAATATCCACACAATAAACACCCCCTCCTCTCGACGCCCCAACACTTCTATACCCACTATAAATACATTACAACTACTACTCCGATGGACGTCTCCCTTACCTGTGAGAGAGAGGCCTAAAAAACAACTATTGAATAGATTTTTCTCAAAAAATATATATAATTATTAATTATGAAAATATAAAAAAGTTTGCAAAACATAACAAAAAATATTTCTCTCGACTCTCGACTCTCCCGACGTTTTTTAAATAATTTCCTTTCGTTTTAATTTCTCTTTTAATTATATTTTACATAAAATTTTTATTATAATTATTATTATCATTATTACTGTATTATTATTAATAATTATAGTTACGATTATTATTATTATATTATTATTATATAATTTTTAATTAAAATCCCACTCTAACCACAACACATATGCTATTATACATTATATACACTAAAAATATATATTATATATATATATAAATATAAATACACAACAATTTTTAGGTTGTCTTGATGATATATTTAATATACAGTGTGTTTTAGATAGGGAGAGAATTGTGTATTGAATTTGTGTATTAACTGTACATTTTGTGTAGCGATTGCCTTATGCCTGGAAAAATGATAATCTTTTTTTAATTGACGGATAATAACTACAAAGACATGAAAATAAACTATACGTCGGCCGCGAAAATGTATTATTAGTTTTGAATTATTATTATGCAATTGAAATGCGGAAACAAGAAAACTATAATATAATGTAATTTCTTGATTATATTATATGTAATATTCTCTCACTTTACTCTCTATCTCTCACTTTTTGCAACACATCAAAAGGCTTATGAAAAATGTTTTTTATATATTCATTTGATTGTAACTAAATCACTTGAGAAATGATTTTTTATTATTCATTTTTGATAGTATTTTTAACGCTGAAAAGTGTACGCGAAACTTTTTTCTAAAAATATTATATAAATTACCAGTTTTTGTCTGCAATTGCCTTTTGAATTATTTGTCAAACAAAACAACACAGAACTTGTATTTTCTGTATTTGTGAGACACAAACAAACAAAAAACAATTATTAGATTATTGATGGAAATGCCTAACGATTTATTTGTCATTTTATATAATAATAAAAATAAAAATTGTGTTTTTCTTTAAGCCCTAACTCTCTCCTTCAATGTTAGTTACGATTCAAATGATAAGATTATTAGTAATATATTTTGACATTAATTTTGCCGTTCATTAGCTAATATTGAGGCACTTCTCTGACTCTGAGGACTATATGTCTAATAAAAATAGTAAGTTTTGAGTGAAAAAACCTATTTTTACGCCACAATTCATAGCCCCCGGAGGGACGACACATACCATAGCACCGACATAATAACTACTGGTGTTTTATGTGTTATATTTCTCTCAATAAGCAATTTAACGGAATTTCTTCCCATTTTTATTATTATTATACCATTGAATGATATATTTTTATCGATTTTTGATTTGTAGCGCTGAAAAAATTTACACTTTTTTAATAACATATAAAATTGTAATACTTTTTCATCGGCTCTCTCTCTATCTATTCATTCACAATGGGAACGACTGTTTGTGTGAGTCCTAAAACCCAACTAAAAGTGGAGTTTCTTTTTAGATCACATTATAATAAAAAGTATTTTATTTTCTCGCTTTTTATTCACTACTTCCCTGCACTCGACTCCTGATGAATGGGAATGGCGTTTGAAATTGTATTTNTTATTCACTACTTCCCTGCACTCGACTCCTGATGAATGGGAATGGCGTTTGAAATTGTATTTTCAAACTTCATTTTCAAAGTTATTTTAAACACTATTCACACAAACAGTTTGTTTGACTCGGAATTGAATGGAAACTTATCTTACATACAGTATAAGCGGAAAATGAGATATTGTTTGTTAAACACAACATCACAAGAATTATTGAGTTCCTAAACACCAGTTATTTAGACAAAAATACTGTATATACTGTATATTTGATACACAAACAAATTTTTAAACTAAAAATTGGGCACTTTTTTACAGCAAACATAATAGCGATATATTTATATATCCAAAACAGTATATGTGTTGTAATAATGAGTGAATGTATTGTGATTTTGTGGGAAATTTTCTCTATTATTCGTTTCGTTTTTTATATGATTTTGTGAATTATATTATAATTATTATGATTTTTTCATTTCTATCGATAGTATTAGCAATTAATGTGTATTTCTATAGAAAACATACTTTTAATGTGTATTAGATTTGAATAGATATTTATTGAACAATATTTCCCCAATTATATGACTAGTACTAGATTCTCGTGTAATATCTATTCAATTATTAATTATTATTAGCATTATATCGATGTCAACAACTTTTTCTCTCCCTTTTGTTAATATAATAGCGAAATATAATTTATATGTCATTTCTCACACTATTTGTATTGCGTTTATACCGTAAATATTCATATGAAACACGAAATATATAAATAAACTAATTATTATTGCTATTACTTAAAAACTAAATCAAACATAAGTTAAGACTATTATTATTACATGAACAAATAGTGTTTGTTTGAAAATGTATTTAAACATGTATTTAGTAAAGGTTTATAACCGCGAAAACAGTTTTTTAATTATATTTCACATGATTTTATGACTAAATGTAATGTAATATTCAATTTGTTTTAATGTATTTTAATTGCATTTTTGATAGATTTCTACTAATTTTTAACGACTGAGTACTGAGTCTTAAAAATCAGTGTTTTTTCACTTATAATCTAAAATCTCTTTATATTCCTATTGCTTATGTAATTCATACGAAAAAATGTTTTATTATTAATAATATTTAAGATAAGAAATCAAAGTGTATTTGAATTTTGAATTTTTATATATAGTTTTTAATGGTCTCCGCAATAAATTATGTTAAAAAAGCGAGGGGTAGTCATACATAAGGCACAGACAATAGGCGAGGTTACGCCTCATTTATATATAAGTTATATCTCTGTATAGTATTCTGTGTCTGTTTTTATAAACCACTTCTCTCTCTCTCTCGCTCTCTCTCTCTCTCTCTCTCGTCTCTGACACCTAAATTGGCTGAAATTATTTACAATTTCTTTTCTCTTTCTTTTTACTCTCTTTTATGGGAAGTTATGTTATGTATTGTATTATTTTATTTGCCATTAAATATGTACAACAAATACCAGTGTTTTGTGCAAACATTAGCAAAACTATTTGTGTGCATTTGGGCAAAGGGTTGTGTAATCAGACCACCGAAATATTCACAGCGTTTTTATTATTGATTTATTTGAATAGCATTTCCAATACTTAGTCGGAGCTGAAGATCCTTAAACTCAGCCTTAAGTACCAGAAGTTGTTTTTAATTTAAGGGTATTTTATATATAAATTTTGTTGTTGTTGTGCATAAGAAACCGATGCCTTTCGACAAACTGGTTGACGAGGAATCGCCCGGAGACCCAATTTGTCGATATTTAGATACCCGACCATTCAGTCGATTCATGTGCACCCGAATCAATGGTTTACGTGTTTGTGCGCCCATTAATACCACCACTTCATACCCATTCTCTCTCTCTCTCTCTCTCTCTCTCTTCTCTCTCTCTCTCCTCTCTCTCTCTCTCTCTTCTCTCTCTCTCTCTCTCTCTCTCTGCCGGTTGTAATAACTCTCTCTCTCTCTCTCTCTCTCTTGTGCTCATGGGTTGGGAGTATCGCATATCTAAAGCGTGCAGTACTTATACAAAGATATATTAAAAAGTCTTAACTTTCGTTTGAACTAATTTTATATACAGAATATACTCTCTCTCACACACACACACACATTGCTAATGAAGAGGTGTCCCAACCATCAAATGAGCTTAAGATTAGATTTTTACTGTTTAGTGAACACCACTTACTGTTCAAGAAGTGGTTAATCAATCAAATCGATGAATAATTTTTTGATTTTGAAATAATATTTCAAATGCATATGTATTTAGCTCTGCTGTCAAATGATTATAATTATTGATTCGTAGGTTTGAAATCCGTTTATAATATTTAAAATCAATAATTATTACTTGTTATAGAAGTTGTATTTACGATTTCAAGTGGAATCCCTGTTATTCACAACTATTTGATGCTAATCCTATGTTAACCCAGAATCTCATTGCTTTGCATAATGTTATAAATGCATTATTATTCTCACCATTTGTTTGTTTATTTATTTAGTTTAGTTTTTCTTGTTGTTGTTGTTTCTGTTTAAATTCATTTCCCCAAAACCTACTCATTGTTACTATTAATACAATTCGTATTTTTTGAGTGAATTTCATTCATTGATCCAAACAATTGATTGCAAAAATAACATAATAATCAATACAATGAATGGTTTTGGTCTACTTTTGCTATAATTCAATGCATGATAGAGAGAGAGAGAGAGAGAGAGAGAGAGAGAGAGAAGTGGTTTATAAAAACAGACACAGAATACTATACAGAGATATAACTTATATATAAATGAGGCGTAACCTCGCCTATTGTCTGTGCCTTATGTATGACTACCCCTCGCTTTTTTGACAGAATTTCTCTCAATTAACTATTTTTATTTGAAAACAATTTTTTCTCGACTCTACTCTTCATTGAACGCAACGAATGATCAGAAAATTTTTGGGGAAATTCTTGCTGTTGTGCTGTATTTGAACCGAATTATGCTTTTTCTGTTGAATATCTGCTACCATTCCTGCCATTCCCTCTCATTGATGTTGTGTTTCGCAGCACTTATACCCCCAATAACTGGTTGTCTCGATTGGATGTTTGTGTCATTCAGTCGACATAAGTGTCAATTGAGAGTACAATCACTTAAACATAAATAATAAAAATACGTTAAAAACACAACAATTCTGGCGATCATTAGTCTCGAAGAGTCGAGAAATCCATTTGCGAGCGAAAGGGCTCTCGTATTGTGTCTAACGAGCGACGACTCGATTGGTATTTAATTTCACTTATAGTCTGAGAGATGCGACTAAAAACACTCTCATTGATAGCTATTAGTCTGAAAACACACACAATCTATACATTAATTATAGCACTTGTTATACACGACGGACTCGTTATTGAAATAATTATCTAATAATTGCAATCATTTTCCACTCACTATCTGAAGGGTAATTCACGCCCCGGGAGGCGCCTCTAGTAATATCTTCCAACCCGTGAACGGTGTGAACGGCGGCTCCGAGGGCTCGGACCTGAACTCCATCGACTCGGGATCGCTGTCATCGCTGCCCTCCACACCCGTCAACGGCATGAATGGCTCGACAAACGGCCACTTCTTCGGCGACACGATGTCCGAGTGTTCGACCCCTCCGTCCAGCGCCTCATCGAGTCGTCGGGGCTCCAGACAGGAGGACACGAAGAACCGTCTGTTCGGACCGGAGTTGGAGTCCCCCCGCAGACGAGTGGTCGACCGCATGAAGTCCAACATCTTCACCGAAAACAGCGCTCCTCTCAACGGAAATGGAGGTCTCGTGCGCTCGGCGTCTGTCAAGAAATACGATTTCGGTTTGTCTTCATAGCTATTATTTGTTTCACTGATTAATTGTTTTGATAACAATAATGACTGCAAACTTTGTCTCCCGTTTCGGTATATCTTATGTCTCTATGTCTTATGCCATCTCTAATGAGATGTCATTTTTCAAGTCTATGAGCCATAACTGACTTTAATATATAAATGTTTATAAATAGCCATATATTCCGTACACGATATGTATACAAATATGTATTTCACATTTATTTAGCCCTAACATCCCCTTCCACTCCCCTATTACTCCCCTATTCTCTCTATTCTTATATAATTTATTATTTATTGTTTCAATAAATTTAATGAATTCCTTCATTGGAAGTCATAATTTTTCATTTCCTGTTGTATACTCTCAACAAATATTATTAATGAAGATCTCGAGTTTGCAAACATATTCTCACTTTTACTATAATACATGCATTCGAGAGCCCAGTCCTCCCCGTAATGTTGGGGTCATACCATTCATACCCATTATAAGTGCAAACCATTTGTTTATATGAACCAAACAAATGACTTGAAGAGCACTTGGCTTTTAGAGATTGCATCTCATCTGTGGTTCTGGTCTTTCTCTGCTCCCCGTCCCCTATAACTCACTTCTCCATCACTCCTATTGATTCTAATCGCGCACAATATGCCTGTCCTCTACCATACCAGTCCTCACTGGCGACTAATATTCACTTCTCTTTTGTTGACTTATTATGCATTATATGTTTGACTCATTTGTTGTCTGTCTTTCCTCTACCTACCGGTGCAGTCGTCCGCCGCAATCCAATTACTGGCGAAGTATATGATGAGCCAAAAACCAATGGTCACAATGGCGTCAACGGCAGAGTGAATGGGATGAACAGTAAGAGCCTATCCCTTTCCTCCCTATCCTACACACAGTCTATTAAATGCAAATCACATGAACTTTCTTTC